CAAAGTTATTTTATTACAGTGATTAATTTGACCTATATGTAGAAAATGTTACATTTACATCACATCATGGGTCACATTGATCAGATGCTGCTGCTGACTTTAAATTCAGTTTCAAATTCTGCACATTCAGATTCAATCTGAGCAATTCAAATTCACTTCCTGCTGGCACAAGATTTATCCCATAGGAATGTTTGTGTCTTCAGGTTCACCAGACGGTGCACCAGTGTTGCCCCCTCCAGAGAGACRGCAGGGGAGCTCCTCCTGGGTGAGTGTTTTTAACCTTCCTGTCTTCGGCTCGTTGCTGGTCAGCTGAATGTCTCTGTCCTCACAGGGAAGTCCGGCATGTACTTTGTGGAGGACAACGCCACCGACGCTCACGACAGCCAGGTGAGCACAGTTTGATGTTTGTCGGCACGTTGGCAGCAAACGAGCTGCTGAACCACCTCGTTTGTTTTTTTGAACAGAGCCTCCACGGGGAGACGGAGGCTCCTTCGTTCTCCTGGACCTACGAGGAGATCAAGGAGGTGCACAAGCGCTGGTGGCAGCTCAGAGACAACGCTGTGGAGATATTCCTCACCAACGGCAGGACGCTGCTCTTAGCGTTCGACACCACCAAGGTGAGGCGGAGCGTCGAGTYGCTAACGGTCTGGATCCTCGTGACGTTAAAGATCACGTTTTAACACTTTTACTGAGATATTTTTAYATATTTATTACAGAAACAAAAAACTTGTCTTCTTCCTTTCTTATGACCTGATGTGTTCAGAGGTATGACTGTAGACGTCGTCTGTATAAACCTTTGATTTAAAGACTCTTTTATGAATCAAAATAATGTGGACAACAGAACAAATACAAGAAACTGGGAAATTAAATGTTGCATTGAATGCTAAGAGCTTAATGACAGCTRAAATCTGCTGAAKGAGCTAAAACTGTTAAAAGCTAAAAACCTGAATACTCACTAGAAGCTAAAATAAGTAAAACATTAGCTAACAGAAACAGAACAGTAGAAAAGAAACAGAAGACAAGTTAACACCTAAAAGAAACATAACACTAGCTAAAAGAATCTAAACAATAGCTAAAAGAAGCCCAACACTAGCTAAAAGAATCTAAACAATAGTTAAAAGAAGCCCAACACTAGCTAAAAGAATCTAAACAATAGCTAAAAGAAGCACAATTCTAGCTAAAAGAATCCCAACATAAGCTAAAAGAAGCACAATACTAGCTAAAAAATCCAAACATAAGCTAAAAGAAGCACAACACTAGCTATAAGAATCTAAATAATAGCTAAACGAAGCATAACCCTAGCTAAAAGCTACAAGAAAATGACTACTTGCTAGAAGCTAAAATAAGTAAAACATTAGCTAACAGAAACAGAACACTAACTGAACTGAAAGAAACAGTAGTGAAAATAAAAAGGAACACTAGCTAACAGCTAAAAGAAAACAACACCAGATAAAAAATACATAACACTTTCTAAAGGTTTAAGGAAACTGAGAGTAGCTAGGAGCTAAAATAAGTAAAACAATAGCTAAAAGTAACAACAAGGAACAGTTGCTAAAAATGATAATAAAACAGAACACTAACTGAGCTAAAAGAAACAGTAGCTAAAAATAAAACAGAAGAACTAGCTAAAAAAAGAAAAACCAAACACTAGCTAAAAGCTAAAAGAAACAGTAGCTGGACGTTAAAAAGAATACCTGCTAAAAATAAAATATGASACTAGCTAAAAGCTAACTGAAAGCTAATAGAAATAGCAGATAGCTGAACCTCCGGTCTGTGTTTTCTCAGTTCCGGGACGACGTCTACCACAACATCCTGACCTCGGACCTCCCCAACCTGCTGGAGCACGGCAACATCTCTGCGCTCACGCAGCTGTGGGGCTCCGGCCAGATCACCAACTTCGAGTACCTGACGCACCTGAACAAGCACGCGGGTCGCTCGTTCAACGACCTGATGCAGTACCCGGTGTTCCCCTTCATCCTGCGCGACTACACCAGCGAGACRCTGGACCTGCAGGACCAGAACATCTACAGGTGGGTCCTGAGCTTCTCAGAAAAATCTGCTTTTGTCCCCCTACCAGCCGGTCGAGGCAGATGGCCGCCTGTCCTGAGCCTGGTTCTGCTGGAGCTTTCTTCCTGATTAGCAGGGAGTTTCTCCTCTCCACCGTTTGCTCAGGATGGGAGACTGTGATGAAGTGATTCAACACAATCTGCTGGTTTCTTCTTTASATTRYTCTTTTTATGTACAGTGCCCTGAGACAATGTATGTTGTGACTTGGCGCTATATAGATAAACTTGAACTAGATTTAAACATTTAAAACTGAACTGCTCTCTTTCGTTTTACAGGAACTTGATCAAACCGATTGCGGTCCAGTCCAAAGAAAAGGAGGATCGCTACGTCGACAACTACAGGGTAACCTTTCCTCCACCGTTTAGGACCAAACTTGAGGAGATAAAACTCACGAGCAGGTGTGTTTTCTGTGCAGTACCTGGAAGACGAGTACAAAAAGGGCATTCGTGAGGACGACCCCATGCCTCCCGTCCAGCCGTATCACTACGGCTCGCACTACTCCAACAGCGGCACCGTCCTGCACTTCCTGGTCCGAATGCCTCCGTTCACCAAGATGTTCCTCGCCTACCAGGGTGAGTCCAAGCTGCAGAGTGGTCTTAAAGCTCGTAATTAATTTAAATTACAATTTAATCATACAGTTTAGATATTTTCAAAATAAAACCTTTTTTTATAAAAATTTTTTTAATGTGAGCTTGTTTTTCAATTTTCCGTCCCTCCTGTTTCATGTTTTTATGCGACTGCTAATGTATTCAGCCAGCGCTCTGTTTAAAGTCATGAAAGGAGACGTTCGAATCCATAATCAGATTTTCTTTGGACTCGATTATTTAGACCAGAGCTTTGATATCCCGGACCGGACTTTTCACTCCATGAACACCACGTGGCGCCTGTCCTCCTACGAGTCCATGACAGATGTGAAGGAGCTCATCCCAGAGTTCTTCTATCTGCCAGAGTTCCTGGTCAACAGAGAAGGTCACATTTTATTTATTRTAAMATGCTAATTAGTAAAAGTTATCCGTTTAACTCAAACCAGCCCCAACATGTTTAAATTTTATTTTAAATATTTGTTTCTACAGGTTTCGATTTTGGGGTTCGTCAAAACGGCGAAAGAGTGAATCACGTGAATTTACCCCCGTGGGCTCGCAACGACCCCCGTCTGTTTATCCTGATCCACCGACAGGCCCTGGAGTCGGACCAGGTCTCCCAGACTCTGTGTCAGTGGATCGACCTGGTCTTCGGCCTCAAGCAGAAAGGCAAAGCTGCYGTCCAGGCCATCAATGTCTTCCACCCGGCTGTAAGTAGCAGCCAGATATTTTTTAGAAAAGACTTTTTGTTTGAATGCTGAGTCAGCATTTTATTTTTCAGCGATCCTGTTTTCTCTTTATTGTTTATTTAAGTTTCGTTTGACTCAAATTATTTCAGTGTATCAGACTTCCTAACATTTCCCCAAAGACAATCAATCCTTCAACACTGTTCTCTTCAGCATTTTCAGCATGCTTGTTTTATGTCTTCTTATGCTAGTTTTAGCTTTTAGCTAGTRTTTTGCTAGTGTCTACTTGTCTACTTTTTAACACACATTTTGCATTTTTTTGCTAGTTTTCTGTTACTTAGTGTGTTGATGCTTTTTGCTTTTAGCTAATGTTTGCTACTTTTTKCTAATATTTTGCTACTTTTAGCTAGTTTTTTTGCATTRTTTTGCTAGCATTTTGGAACTTTTGCTATTATTTAGCATTTTTTTAGTTAGTGTTTTGCCAGCATTTTATTGTATTGAGTCTTTAGCTAGTGTTGCTGCTTTTAGCACTTAGCTGGTGTTTTGTTGCTTTTAGCTAACATTTTGTTACTTTTAGCTAACATTCTGTTATGCTTATATTTTAGCTAGCATTTAGCTTCTTTTTGCTAGATTTTATCATTTGTTAACTTAGCATATTGCTGCTTTTTGTCGGCATTTTGTTCGTTTTTTTTTTTATTTGGCTTTAGCTAATGTTTTGCTGCTTGTAGCATTTAGCTATATTTGCTTCTTTTTGCTACCCTTTGCTCCTTTATGCTAGTCTTTAGCACTTGTTAGCTAGTGTTTTGCAAAAATTTTGTTGTATTTAGTCTTTAGCTAGTGTTGTGATGCTTTAGCTAGCATTTGATWATTTTTGCTAGTGTTTAGCATTCATTAGCTTGTGTTTTGCCACTATTCACTATTGTTTTACAGGTTTTTTGCTAACATTTAGCATTTTTTGGGCTTTAGCAAGTGTTTTGCCGCTTTTAGCRTTTAGAATAGAAACAGCCTTTATTGTCCCGCGCGGGGAAATTCAGGAGCATCATTTAGCTAATATTCGCTTCTTTTTTACTAGCATTTTGCTGCTATTTGCTAATACAAAAAAAATGCTAGCAAAAAGGAGCGTTTTTTTTTGTTTGTTTTTTTTTTGGGGGGCTTTAGCTAGTGTTTTGCTACTTCCAACTTTTGGTCAGCACTGTTCTCCTTTTAGCTTTTGATTAGCAGTTCGCTACTTCCAGCTTTATTTCTGCACCTTTTTAGCCATTTAGCCATTGTTCTACTTGTTTTAACCTAAACATCTCAGTTTCWGCTTCTTTCAACATATTTCAGCAGGTAACAATCATTTGTTTAACGTTTTACAGACGTATTTCGGCATGGACGTGTCRGCTGTAGAGGACCCAGTCCAGCGACGAGCCCTGGAGACGATGATTAAGACTTACGGCCAAACGCCCAGGCAGCTCTTCAACGCCTCCCACATCAGCAGGGCGGCCCCCAAACTCACGATGGAGGGGGAGCTGCCGGCAGCCATGGGCCTTCTRGTTCAGCTGGCCTTCAGAGAAACCAGAGAACAGGCGAAGGAAATCGTCTGCCCGGTCAGTTAGCTCCCCGTCGACCCGCTGCGCTCAGCGAGGCCACCTCCCGCTCACTTAACATGTCTTTTCTCGCAGAGCCCGCTGCCCTGGATCAAAGGCCTGAAGTGGGGCGAGTACGTGGGCTCGCCCTCCGCTCCGGACCCCGTGGTGTGTTTCAGTCAACCGCACGGCGAGCGCTTCGGATCCCTGCTGGCCCTGCCCACCCGGGCCATCTGCGGCCTGTCTCGCAACTTCTGCCTGATGATGATTTACAGCAAGGAGCAGGGTACGCAGGCAGGGGGGCGCACGCACCAGGCCGCGACCCCGCTAATGCTAACGGCCATGACCCCGCTAACGGTTCTCTGCTCTCGCAGGTGTGCGGAGCATGCACAGCACCGACATCCAGTGGTCGGCCATCTTGAGCTGGGGCTACGCAGACAACATCTTACGGCTGAAGAGCAAGCAGAGCGAGCCGCCGATCAACTTCATCCAGTGCTCACAGCTCCACCAGGTACTGACAACCCCCGTCCTCTCRTCAGCGTTACACAACCGSACCACMACTAACGCTTCTGTTTCCCTCCATCTCCAGGTGACCAGCTGCGCCTGGGTGCCCGATGGCTGCCAGCTATTTACGGGCAGCAAGTGTGGAGTCATCACCGCCTACAGCAACCGCTTCACCATCGCCACGGTAGGTTTCCACAGCAACGTCCCCCTCTAACCTTCCCGCCTCCACRCGAGCACCCCACCACTCCCCTCCACCACCTCTCCGAGCAGCTCGGCTTCATTAGTCACATCACAGCTGCCCTTGAAACACATTTCCTCAGAGCTCAGGAGTGGGATCAGGAGGTTCGGCCTTCTCCGTACGACTCACAGATTTCCTGCTTCTGTCTCGAGTGGCTTTATTTAAAAAAATAAAAGCTCACCAGACTCTGATCCTGAGCTGAGGTTTTAATGAAACCTTCAGTGAATCATGTCTACACCTGCAACTGATTTAACTTTAAAAGTCAATCCAATTCAAGATGGCCGCCGCAGTTAATCAACGTTATCAATCAGAAAAATRTCTTTTTGTTTTGCAGACATTAAGCCAGCTGGTGGTGATATCTGTACGGTGGGCTGAAAGATTTAATATTTATATATAATAAACGTTATCAATCAGAAAAATGTCTTTTTGTTTTGCAGACATTAAGCCAGCTGGTGGTGATATCTGTACGGTGGGCTAAAAGATTTAATATTTATATGTAATAAATATATATAATAAAGCACTACAGACTGGATTACAACAAAAACATCATTTTAAAATAAATAAAACCTGATATAAATTAAAGTTACGTTTTTCAGCACAAAGACGAGCAAAGAAGAAGAGTTATGTTAGCTACATGTCGTTAGCGCTTTTAACTGACATTTTGCTTTGTTTTACTAGCTTTTTGTTGCTTTTTGCTTTGAGCTACTGTTTAGTTCTAGCTCTTAACTCGCATTTTATTACTTTAATCATTTTAACTAATTTTGCTACTCTTWGCTTTTATCTAATGTTTTGATGCTTTTTGTTTCTAGCTAGCATTTTACATTGTTTTGCTATCATTTTGATGCTTTTAGCTATCATTTTGTTACTTTAATCTTTCAATGTTTGCTACTTTTAGCTTTTAGTCTTTTGTTGGTTTATGTTACTATTTAGCTAGCATTTTGCATCTTTTTGTTTGTGTTTAGCTACTTTTTGCCTTTTTGTGAGGTTTTTGCTACTTTTAACTATTATCCAGTGTTTTGATCCTTTTTAATTTTAGCTAGCATGTTGCGTTGTTTTGCTATMATTTTGRTGCTTTTAGCTATTTTTTTTAACTATTTGCTACTTTTAGCTTTCAATTAGTGTTTTGTTGGTTTTTGTTTTTAGCCAGTAGTTATTACTTATCAACTAGCATTTAGCATTTTTTCTAATTGTTTAGCTACTTTAGGCCTTTAATTAGGGCTTTTCTACCTTTAGTTAGTGTTTCATTACAGTCAGCTTTTACCTGACGTTTTGTATTGTTTTGATAACATTTTTGATGCTTTTTGCAATTAGCTTTTCTTGGTAACTTCAGCTTTTAGCTAGCATTTTGTTGCTTTTAGCTTCTAGCTAGCCTTTTGCTTATTTTATCCAGCATTTTGCAACCTTTTGCTGATGTTTTGATACTTTTTGCCAGCATTTTRTTGTTTTTCATCTTCTAGTATGTTACTTTGAACTTTTGGTTAGCGTTTTTCTCCTTTTAGCTTTTGGTTAGCAGTTTCCAGCTGCAGAATAGACTCCAACAGAAGCATCCACTTTGAAATAAATAAACTGATGTTACGTGTCTCTTCAGTACAAATAAAACCAAAACAAACCAAAACAGAAAAGACCTGTTAGTTACTCCTGCCGTTGAGATAAAATTTCAGTTTGTCTGCTTTTCTTTTAGCTGAATTTGAATATTCTTTGGTCTTTTCATTCCAGACCTCCTTAAAGAAACATTTTCACAATATGAGATGCAATATATTTTTTTGAGTGTATTGGGTCTTTTAACATTTTTATTGTGAACACCAGAGAGGTCTCAGCCCTGCTATCCCACCTACACCAGCCGTCCCTGAATGTGGTAGCAGCTGAGCATCTTTGAGGTCACACCTAACGTTATGGGTCTCTTTCTGAAGCCGTCAGAGATGGAGGTGGAGTCTCAGGTTCACCTGTACGGACACACAGGTGAAGTCACCGGCCTGTTCGTCTGCAAACCCTATAGCATCCTCATCAGTGTCAGCGACGACGGCACCTGCATCCTCTGGGACCTCAACAGGTGGGAGTGTTACAGAAAAAATTTTTTTAAATTGTTTGTTTTTTTACGAATTTTTGTTTTTGTTTTCAGACTCTGTTACGTACAAAGCCTCACCGGCCACAAAAGTCCCGTGACGGCCGTCTCTGCCAGCGAGACCACCGGAGACATCGCCACGGTTTGTGACTCAGGTGAGGGTCAGTGTGTGAGTTATAGATCTGTGTTCAAGTACACGTCGTGAGTTTTTGTGTGTGTGTGTGTACAGAGGCGGGAGGCAGCGACCTTCGCCTGTGGACAGTGAACGGCGACCTGATTGGACACGTCCACTGCAGAGAGACCATCTGCTCCGTGGCCTTCTCCAACCAGCCGGAGGGCGTCTCCGTCAACGTCATCGCCGGCGGTCTGGAGAACGGCGTTGTCAGGTACGCGTTTGTTAGGGCCGTGTGATTTGGTGACGCATCACGACACGGGTCACGATTTGATACATCGCGATATATTGTGATACTGTAAGCAAGATGATATATCAGCATTTTTATCTCTCCTAAAGATTTTAATTTTAAAACACTCAAAAAGCACACCAAGATTATTTTTATGAATCAGTGAGAAATGCATTTATATTTCACATTTCTTCTTACATTCATTAAGTCTTAATTAAAAATCGACGATTTATCAGGAAATGAAATATCGCGATGTTTCTGTTTATCAATATTTTCCTCCCAACCACTAATGTTTATTTCTGACCAGTTATAATTTACACATTCTCCACCTCAAAAGCTATAAAATGAAACATCATTTGTTGAAATTTATTTATCACCTGCTAACAGGCATGTTTTGTTTACAAAAGTTCAGGTTTGAGAACTGGATTCTTATTGGACTGAAGTGACATCATCGGGAATTAAGGCCTAGTTTTTAAAAAGGAGAATCTTCAACTTCATGGCGTCAGCTTTAAAGTTTAATTTGATCTTAGCTCACTTTAGACATTTTGTACATCAAAATATTTGCCTCTTGATCTTCAGAATCCTTTAAAATTTTCTTTGTTATTTTCCTTTGAGCTTTTAGCTGCTGTTTTGCTCCTTTTTATGRCGCRTTTTGCTACATTTAGMWTTTAGCTTGTGTTTTGATCATTTAGTTTTCTAAATTTTGACAATTTTAGTTTTCTACAACAGGATGGTATTTTTATACCCTTTGTTATCTAGCAGGCATTTTAAAAGTTTTAGCTAGTGTTCAGTTTGTTGTCTTTTTGCTACTTTTTTGCTTTAGTGAGCTTCTAGCTAACATTTTGTGACTAAGCTTTTAGCTACTGTTTTGCTCCTTTTGACTAGCCCTCTACCATTTCACTATTTATCTAACTCTTTGTTACTGTTAGCTAAACATATGCTACTTTAAAGCATTTTGTTATTTTTAGCTAGTGTTCTATTTTTGTTTTAGCTAGTAATTTGCTCTTGTTAACTTCTAGCTAACATTGTACTACCAAGCATTTAGCCGCTGTTTTGCTGTTTTTAGTTTGCAACTTGCTACTTTTAGATTTTAGCTATTGTTTTTCTCCTTTTTGCTAGCCCTTTACCACTTTTACCATGTATCGAATCATGTTGCTTTTAGCTAAGGTTTTGTTTTGTCTTTTATCTAAGATTTTCTTTTATCTGTTAGCTGAGGTTTTATATTTTAGCTGAGGTTTTGTTTTGTCTTTTAGCTGTTTTGTTTTGTCTTAACTGAGGTTTTTATGTTTTAGCTGAGGTTTTGTTTTGTCTTTAGCTGAGATTTTGTTTTCTTTTAGCTGTTTTGTTTTGTCTTTTGGCTGAGGTTTTATATTTTAGTTAAGGTTTTGTTTTGGCTTTTAGATAAGGTTTTGTTTTGTCTTTTAGCTGAGGTTTTGTCTTAACTGAGGCTTTGTTTTGTCTTAGCTGAGGCTTTGTTTTGTCTTAGCTGAGGCTTTGTTTTGTCTT